GGTCTCTTTTCTCAAGTCACAGGCGACAGGACAAGAGGAAATGGCCTCAAGTTGTGCCAGGGGAGGTTCAGGCTGGATATTAGGAAAAATGTTTTCACTGAAAGGGTTATCAGGCATTGGAATGGGCTGCCCAGGGAGGTGGTTGAGGCCCCATCCCTGGAGGTGTTCAAAAGACGGGTTGATGTAGTGCTGGGAGGTCTGGTTTAGTGATGATGCTCCTTGTTTGTTGTGTGGGTGTCTATTTTTGTCAGTTAGGTTGACGGTTGGACAAGATGATCTTTAAGGTCCCTTCCAACCTAGAAGATTCTGTGATTCTGTGACCTGCAGATGATGGTCTTCAGACTGCTGGCAAAGTCAGTTGTGTTAGAAGAAGTCTTATTTACAAGGAGTTGCAGGGTGGTAAGTTATGATGAGCAGTCAGCTTGAGTAGCAGAGCAACCTCCGAGTGCGATTGACAACCAGTAGAAGAGCTGTTGTAGCATCCCAGACCCATGACCATGGAATCATGGAGTTGTCAGAGTTGGAAGGGACATCTAGAGATCCAACTCTCCTGCCAAAGCAGGGTTGCCCAGAGCACATCACTCAGGAGCATCCAGGTGGGGCTTGAAGATCTCCAGAGAAGGGGACTCCACACCCTCCCTGGGCAGCCTCTGCCAGGGCTCTGCCACCCTCACCCCAAAGAAGTTCTTCCTCACATTGGAGTGGAACTTCCCATGGTCCAGCTTGTGCCCGTTGCCCCTTGTCCTGTCACTGGGAACCACTGGAAAGAGTCCATCTCCATCCTCCCTCAACCCACCCTTTAGATACTTGTCAGCATTAATAAGATCTCCCCTCAGCCTTCTCTTCTCCAGGCTCAAGAGCCCCAGCTCTCTCAGCCTTTCCTCATCAGGGAGATGCTCCAATCCCTCCATCATCTCTGTTGCCCTACGCTGGACTCTCTCCAGCAGTTCCCTGTCTCTCTTGAACTGGGGAGCCCAGCACTGGAGGCAGGATTCCAGTTGTGGCCTCCCCAGTGCAGAGCAGAGGGGGAGAATGACCTCCCTCCACCTCCTGGCCACACTCTCCCTTAGGATGTGGAGGGATGCGGGGAGCCGGGTGCGTGTGTGTGTGTGTGTGTGTGTGCGCGCTCTGGAGAGGGTTGAAGGAATGTGCCGGTTATTTGTCTGCGCTTAAAAGTGGTTCCTCTGAAGGCGGGGAGGGGGGGGCTGTTGGGGGGGAATGGATCTGTCATCCCGGGCGGATGAAAAATGGTTGATTCCAACTCCGGGTGAAGAAGGCTGTGTGCCTGGAGTGGGCGCGCTGGAAAGTCCGGCCCGGATCCGCCCGGAGGATGCGATAAGCAAATCAGTGCTTTTACACTGCCTTGGAGTGGCTGAACTCTAGTGGTTTTAAGTATTTAGTGAAGTGTGTATATTCCCCACCCCCCTCCCTTTTTCTCATTAGATTCATTTTTCACAACAGGCTCTGTCCTGTTTCTCACTCCCTGTCAGAAGTGTCCTCTGAGTGTCAGAGAAGTGGGAAACTCTGACTGCGGTTCTCTGGTAGTGAACAGACATTTAGAAGGAACTGGAAACTTTTCAGGCTGGTCACTATGTTGAGTCCTTAGCACAGGAAGGACATGGACCTGTTGAAACGGGTCCAGCAAAGCTCTCCCTTTTTCTCATTAGACTCATTTTTCACAACAGGCTCTGTCCTGTATCTCACTGCCTGTTGGAAGGGTCCTCTGAGTGTCAGAGAAGTGGGAAACTCTGACTGCAGTTCTCTGGTAGCAAACAGGCATTTAGAAGGAAACTGGAAACTTTTCAGGCTGGTCACTGTGTTGAGTCCTCAGCACAGGAAGGACATGGACCTGTTGAACGGGTCCAGCTGAGGGCCACCAAGATGCTCAGAGGGATGGAGCACCTCTGCTGTGAAGACAGGCTGAGGGAGCTGGGGTTGTTCAGCCTGGAGAGAGAAGGCTCCGGGGAGATCTCAGAGCAGCCTTATCTGAAGGGAGCTCCAGGAGAGCTGGGGAGGGACTCTTTGTCAGGGAGTGCAGCGACAGGACAAGGGGGAACGGTTTGAAATTGGAAGAGGGGAGATTGAGATGAGATACCAGGAAGAAATTCTTTGGTGTGAGGGTGGTGAGACCCTGGAACAGGTTGCCCAGAGAAGCTGTGGCTGCCCCATCCCTGGAGGGGTTCAAGGCCAGGCTGGATGGGGCTTGGAGCAACCTGGTCTGGTGGGAGGTGTCCCTGCCCAGGGCAGGGGGTTGGAACTGGATGATCTTGAAGGTCCCTTCCAACCCAAACCATTCTATGATTCTAAGTATGAGCTGATGTTGGCATGTTCTTAAGACTTTTTCTCTATGGCTGGTCTTGATCAGGTATCTGCTGTACATACCTATTCAGTGATAAATAGCGTAAGGATGAATAATAAATGTTAATTATTCAAGGTTAGAGACAACAGCATCTGTCATACCTGGCGAGGTGGGTTCAATCACCAATTTGCTGCAATCCAGCTGGGAGTTGACCTGCAGGATATGTTTTAGGATCCTAATGTCGTCAATAGACTAGTGGGGATGGTCGATGGAACCCAGAGTGTCCTTTATTCTTGGGTACATCTGGTGTGAGGTTACAACCTCCCACCTGGAAAGTCTCCTGAGGGCACGTCTTGCCCAGCTCGTGCTGTGTGTGTCTTGCAAGCTGGAACCGTGGTACTTGCCTGGGAAGCGCTCCAGTAGAAGCTTTTGCTTTCTGTGCTCTCTGCTGTCCGACTTTTGGAGCCATCCTGGGAGTGAATTGCCTCGTAGAGCTTTGGGTTTCTCTTCTCTTTGAGCTATATTTTCATGTTTATGCGTTTTGAACGTTCCTGGCATTGGTAGAAGATGTTTGGTTGTAGGCTTGGAAGGGATGTGCAAGGCAGCTGAAGTACTTTATGAAGCTTATGCACGGGACCTAGAAGTCTTATTCCCAGTATTGTATGATTTCTGGTGTTTGTCATCATGGTTCACTAATGACTTTTTTAAATATAGGCATCTATTGGTTGTTAATGATTTCAGTATCCCTGCTCTGGACTACTAGAGAATTGGCAGGCTGGGTTTGAAAGGAGTGTTTTGGTTTTTTTAATTGTGCAAAGTGTTATGGTTTAACAAACGTTTATTGAGGACAATCACAGCCATCATGGATGAAAAATATAAATCAATTCTGTGAACTTTGACTCTTTTGTTGTCAAGAAGGTGGTGTTGCCCTCGATTCAGTTGCCCTGGGTGTTGCTGTCCCAGGAGGCATCCAGGATCCCAGGATGCACACCAGCCTCACCTCTGGTGGTGTCTACGTCTTGGCCCAGGTTCATGGGCAATGTACACCTTGCTCTTGCTTGGGCCCAGACTGATTCTGGGACTGTTGGCTGGTAGGCACTGAAACTCCAGTAGGCACTGGAACAGCTTACTTGGGGAGGTGGTGGAGTCACCATCCCTGGAGGTATTTGAGACGTGTAGATGTGGCACTTCAGGGCATGTTCTAGTGGCTGAGATTGTGGGGGTCTTTTCATGGAATCACGGAATTGTTGGAGTTGGACAGGACCTTCTAGTCCAACTCCCCTGCCAAAGCGTCTTTTCATGGAATCACGGAATTGTTGGAGTTGGAAGGGGCCTTCTAGAGATCATCTGGTCCAACTCTTCTGCCAAAGCAGGATTGCCCACAGCACATCACTCAGGACTGCATCCAGGCGGGTCTTGAAAATCTCCAGAGAAGGGGACTCCACAACCTCCCTGGGCGGCCTGTTCCAGGGCTCTGTAACCCTCACACTGAAGAAGTTTTTCCTCATATTTGAGTGGAACCTCTTATGTTCC